TAAACTATTAGAAACGGAACTGGTTACTCACTGTTAACAAGTAGTATAAAGTAATACACAAAGAATGATAAGAGGATCAAGACAATTAAAACGAGCTAAACATGTTAACTTTGGAGTTTAACAGGTTTTACCATTCAATCAAACATCTGTCACTACAAACGGTAATGTATAAAAAACACTAATATTAACTATCATTTTATTTTCCACAATGGTTACCCTATATGCTTTTTTTAATTTAGAATCATGTGCACTATCGATTACCTATAACAAGATTTGCATCATTCCATACTGTGCTGCTTTTCCCGGACCTAATCTTTTTCGTTACTAATGATACTACTAATAATTCTGCTACTCTAAAATTTGTCTTGATAATTTAGTCTAGTTGTGCTAATGTGGCATGGCAACTTGGACCGATCCGTATATTCATCAGACTACAGATCATACAATAACTGATGGATATTATCCGTTACAACAAGCAATTGAATTATGTACGCACTTATTTTTCAAATTTCATTTATTTAACTGTCCCAATATCAGTTGGATTAATTTTCGAAATTCATTTCCGACACCTTTATTCCATAAACTTCTTACTTAGTAGTTTGCTCACTAATTTCTTGTTTGCATTGGTGTACTGATCCATGTTTATTAAATCTTTCACATTATGAAAAGTACCCTGTCAAAATATTGCATACAACACTGAAGATGTAAACGTAAAGAACTGATTTGATTAATGTGATATGGCCTGAAAATAGTGGCAACTCATTAGTTGTTGCCAAAGTTATTACGTCCTTGATCTATCTACCCATTAATACACAGGAGAGAATTGTACTGACCGAGTTTAGCGCGTTGTGCGATAAGCTGCATATCCCAACCTTGAGGCTAGTAAGTGTCTGAGTTCGATTGTGACTAGATGGCCTTGAGGGCAGAGAGAATGAAAAAAAAATAATTAATCTACATTGACCAATGACCTGATAGGTTGGGAAGTGAAAACGAATTAACTGGAACTTGACTTGATTTCTTTGTGACTCAGATTACCTCCAAAAGGCTCATGAACAAATATACGGCTAACACTACTTAAACGCACAAAGAATCAGAAAAATACATTTGTCTAAACTAGGGCATTACAGAAGAAAATATGGGGCACAAAGGTTACGTCTAAATTACAGAAATTTTGGAATAAAAACGTATGACAATGATTTACACATTAAACGAAAGTTTATGATTCATAGGATAAACCAAGGATAAAAGTAAGTGTTAGTATTTTACAGACTTTGAATTAAGTGAAAGCGTCCCGAAAAATAGCTTCCATCATTCATCGTTGCTTCTTTAGTTCTTCCTTTACATCAAAAGTATATTCTGTATGCATAGAAAACTGTAGAGACTGTTGTATTTTATGGTTTTACATCATGGATTGACCTTAGATGATCATCGTAAAAAAGAAGCGGTGGACAGCCACTTTGTCCTGATATAGGAATCCTCAGCAATATACCTCCACGACTTCGTCTGAAGTCCAAGAAAAGAGTGCTTAACCTTCAGACCAATGAACTAGAACCCAGTGTTATACATTTCTAGCTTAAATAAACTCCAAATGTTCCATGACTATTACGCATTGCCATTTTTTACATTCCCAACATGGTTTAATCCCACCAGTCACAGATAAGGTTGTGAATCAGTACAAATGAAGAGTTTTATACAGGGAAGAAACAATTATCCTATTCTTCCTGCTTCTCAATAGCTACCTAGGGTAAGTCAGTGATGTTATTTACACTCATTGTATCAATTTGAAATATTTCAACATAGACTGATGCATAGCCTCGTCAGGTACTATGTTGTATCTTTGATTAACAAAATACTTTGATCTGATAGTTAAGTTAGGTATTAGTAACATTTCAAAATTGTGTAATGGTTCAACGAATGCATTCTGATTATCGTTCACATTCTACATGAACTTTCAGGTACGTCGTCACAAATTATACACAATTTTAAAAGATAAATAAGTATATTTTCATTAGTATAAGTGAACTATGCATGCGAACCACAACCAGTTATCAAGGTTTTCTTTTTCAGCTTCCATAAAACTAACTTCCAAGTATCTATAAACTAAGAATACGCTGTTGAACAGGTTGAAGGTATTTCTAACGCAGTGGTTAGGAAACGAGTACTAGGTAAGGATGGCAAATCAACTGATGAAGTAGTGAAACTTCATCAGTTGAGATGGCTGGGACACGCGTTACGTATGCCCAACCACCAACTGCCTCGACGTGCGATGTTCAGTGGTATAGGAGTAGGTTGGAAGAAAGCTAGGGACGGCCAGACCAAAACATGGCACAAGTCCATGAAGTCACTGACAAGTGGACTGAGTCATGTTGGTAGGTGTAGACTACCTGGTTAGGGACCGCGAGATGATAGCAACTGATGGTTAGAGACCCTAAATGACATGGCTCAAAATCGTTTGCAATGGCGCAGGTGCATCCACTCTCTGTGTTCTCCCAAATTCTAATCTCCTGATTCCTCATTCTCTTTTTTTCTCTTTCGAAATTTATTTCACTGGATTATACTCTTTAAATAACATCTCCAAACCCTAATGTTTCCGATTACTGCTTATACTCTTACTACCTCTACCACTACGGGATTTGAATCGACCACTGCATCTCTGTGCTAATATGGTGTGGCAACTCGAACTGATGTACGTACGTACGAAGTTCTACGTTGTTACTAACTGACTGACTGAAGGTATTTCTGTTAACTAGAACGTTTATTTCAATATTGTTATCTACATCTAAAACGAATTGATGTATATTTATTTAACCACTAAGTAGTAACTGAAACTATGTTTATCTACCCTTTAATAGTAAATAAATTCTATTAAGGAAGTTGGCATCATTATCACTTTAGTTTAAGGTGACTCAACATAATGGTACACTACAATAAATATGAAAAATCAAATGATAACTGAACACTCACCATTCATATTATCTTCATTTTTATATACTCATTTTATTGAACAAGCATTTGTTTTATTCATATCACGGTTAGTATGTAATTAAATTTGTCAATACCCTCATATCATTTATAAAATTATACAGAAGTTTTGTTTTAAATAACACAAAGCTTAGCATACTGTCTAATGTCTTTCTAAAAATTATGATATATATATATATATATATATATATATATATATATATATCAAACTAACTTATACCCTCCATTTTACCTTAACATACTTGAGATAATTGTAGGTGTATTATATCACGTCAATTATCAATGAAATGTTTATGGAACATTTCTTGACTAGTTTTAATGCTCGTTACATGCCGATATGTTTGTTACCGAGACGATATCATCATACAAGAGCATATCGTCTACCATATATAATTAATTAATGTCAATTAATGGTAAAGTGCAGATATATGTACTCAATTTTCAAAGTAGACATTCAGTGCTTATAGGTTAGTGATTAATAAAGATTGTTGAAAAACTAAAGCATAAAATAGGTTCTATGGTGAGTGCTGAACCAATACTAAAATTTCTATTAAAACAAGGCTGAAATCAAGAGATAAGTAAGATCATATATACAAGTCAAGAATTATAATTTGGCTACAAGTGCCCGAACATTTTGTATGTGAGATTCGGGATCAACTTATGGTCGATCTTATGACTCTCTAAATAATTACGTAGTTCTATGTGGATATCATCTACAGTGATACTCAAGTAAGCTGAGATCATCATAATCCACGTTTTCCGTCACTGAAATAACATAAAACATCATAGAGAGTAGCTAAACAAAATTTAACAGCAAAATGAAGAAACATTCAATTTTTTTATTCAGCCGGCTAAAGTTGAACATTAAGCAACCAGGCGATCAATTCTGAGCCAATAAAAACAATAGTATCATAGTGTTAAGCTGAACATAATGTGTAACTGTTATCGTAAGATTTACACAGTAGAATGATCAAGACAATAAAATTTATCATATGATGCTATGTAAGCACACACCATTGACTTACTGAAATTTTGCAGAAAAACCTATCGAATGAGTTTTCATTTTGCATCAAAGGTTCATTTGCCAAAATACCGATTTGTGTACTTGGTTTTGAGTTGCACCCGAAGTGTGAGGATTTATTAGTAATACCCAATTGCTCAAAAGTAAATAAATGAACATTGTTCATTTATTTATTTATTTAAACACGTAAACACTGGTACAAGGAGGCACCAAACAGATATGCGCCACATAAATCATTCGATTAATGTGAGGGCTAGGATGCTGCTCAGGTGCCCAAAACGAAGCAGATGGTTTTCTTAGGGGGCCACACCCCGAGCCTTCGACCTGAAGGCATGATTCACAAGGCAGTGGAGTATCGTGAGGAGATGCAGTCCCATGGAAGCCGGTGACCAACAATCCCTTTGTTCCCGCAGGATACTGCAGCCCATGTGCAACAATGGTTCGGAAACCGGTCAAAGTGCCGAACATTCGCTTTCCGTCCTCCCATTTTCGTAAACAACACCCCCCCCCCACGAGAAGGCAGTGAGTAGGACTTCCCTGGCAGAGGCTATATACGCGTGGACGTGTGAGAGTATTTCGAGAGGGAAAGCGGAATCTCCCCACTCTCGGCCGTACCAGGGCATTTGAACAGTGTTCAAGCCTGCTTCTTATTAAATTACGTGCTAATAATGTTGCCCACAACTAAAACATCCAGCCCTAGACACCCCTAATCCTGAGCTACAAATACCCTTTATCATCATAACTGAAAAGTACCAACAACAACGAAAAAAACCAAAAAACAAAGATTTATATTATTTCCGCCCAGAAAGAGAATATTGTATACACTACTTGGGAAAGCGAAAGGAATAATATAGAAAAATTCATTTAAAAAAGATAATAATCATTACAAATCTACACAATTCGCTCATTAATTCATAAAAACACACACAAAAAGAGACCTATAAAGAAAATATCACAGTTTGTTGGTACGAAATAAATCATTGTATTGAAACTACAAAATAATAATAATAATAATAATAATAATAATAATAATATAGACTATATAAGCATATACACACATATACACAATGTGCCTTTTTATCAAAATAAAATCTCGTAGAAACAAACGAACCTTCTTTATTTTTTCTTTATCAAAAAATTAATTATCCCAAGAAAATCCAGGTTTATCATATGGTAATGATGGACAACAGGTTGTAGGCCATATATCATGTTCATAACGATATTTCAATTCGGTATTACTAATAAATTTTAATATTGTTAATAATACTATTAATATTGTTATAAAAGTTAATATACTAGTTGAGAATTGAGTAAAACCACAATGTGTTTGAATATTAGTCTAAAAAGAATAAATTAAATATGATAGATAATGTGTCATTTATATAGATATAATAATATTGAGAATGTAAACACAAGAATAATGATAGATGATTGTTTTTTTTATATATTCTTATAATTATTAATTCTAAAAACGTGTCTTAAATAAAGATGAAGCACAAATGTCAGCATATCCTGGTTTTTAATTATTTTACTTACGTTTGTTACTTGTCGTGGAATAGTATTAGAAGCATAGATCACCCCACCAGCATTCTTCATTCAATCTATTCCAGATGATATTCATCCTTTTGATGTCTTCTTCCAATTCCCGATATAGTGTGTTCTTCGGTCTTCCTCTTTTCTGTTTCCCTTAAGGATTCCAAGTAAGCGCTTGCCTCATAATACAGTTAGGTGATTTCCGTAATGTATGTTCTATTCACTTCCAGTGTTGGTTTTTAATGGGGACGATAAATTAGTGATTGAAGAATATTATTCTTAATAAGTAGTCAGTTTAAACGACGCTACATATACATGGACTTGGAAAAGTTGAAAGAAAGCTATGTATAGCCAATATAAAGAGTGACATCAGTTCACTAAGTTATTAACTATTGAAATGACTCGTGTTAGTAGATGTAAACTATCTATCGGAGTCAACATAGGTTGGAAAACGTGAGATAATGCAAATTTGAATATTAGAATCTTATTAACAGAAAGTGTAAAATTTGGCCTAATTGTCTAAAAAACGAAATTTTTAATTGACCTTGAATTCATTATTCATATGTGTGAAATATGAAATAGCGCATGTCGTTTCCAATAGTTTTAATGGATCTATTGAGTCGACGTGTTAAAATGTCATTCATTATATCACCATAGAAATCATGTATTAGGTAGGTTTTCTTTTTGAGCGCTCAACGATCAGGTCCTTTAAGTATAGGCTATGTAATTAACCTCACGGAAGTGGTTAAACTGACGAACATAAATGGATGAAACCATCATTCGTATCCCGTCCTCGGTTCGCTTCGTCAGTACAAGTTACGCTGACGCAATTAAATGCAATTTAGTTGCATTAGAAGTTATTTCAATAGATATACTGAGTTTACGTGTCAGTATTTTATTCTCTACATTTTTTCAGAATCAAGAATTAGGTTCGGAGTTTTCTTTTCGACTGTGGAAGCTTATAACTTGTTCATCAATTTAGTTGCTTATATGGAGCTAATTACAAAGGTTGTAACTCAAATGCCTTGATCCTTGAGTGCTTACGAAGATGTACAGGCATGGTTACGAAAAGGAGTCACTAAGTCCATAAATAATGCAATTCTATTCCCTAAAATTGACAATGGATAACAATATCCAGATTGAATATAATTTTTTTTTCGTTCCGAGTAATTTAACAGAAGCTACAAAACTGTTCTTCATTCATATAGTGGAAGTAACTGACACCAACTCAAAGAAACCTGAGCAGTGTGTACAAAAGAAATATGTTCAATATATTTTTCCACATTGGGCCATAAAATGGTCATTTCATTTTGTCAGTACACACAATTTTTAAGCAGAACAAAAAACGTTTAGCATACAATACAGATTAAGAAAATAGTGAACTATGGTGAAGAATATAATTATAATCATATGAATAGTTGTTACAAAACATCATAACACCTATGAACTAAGAGAGCAACTTACTTTACATATAATCTGTCTCTTACAAACCTCTGAATCCACAGGAGTACATACACCTGGATGAGTAATATTGAATATTCTTTCAGGTAGATCACCTATTTTCCATTGGCATTTAGGATCACCTAATTCTTGACCATTAGTAAATCCATCACCGTCACTATCCAATGGACAGAGTAGACTCCAAGACTTTAATTGTATTTCGTTATAAAAAAAGTAGAACACAATAAAGGATTTTAATCATGAAAGAGAAATAATTTGACAAGTTAACTAACTTTATTTGATTCGATCCGCACTAAAAACCAGATTAGGTACTGGTCATCGACAAATAACCAAGTAATGTAAGTTCCAAACTTGGTTTCTGGGTTTTCTACCATCAAAATCACGAAATATATGTAATGAATGAAATAACAACTTAGTTTTTTATTTATTTAAACACATAAACATCGGTACACCAAATATATGTGCGCCACACTTCACCATTCAATCTGTGTGAGAGCTGGGGTATTGTGTAGGCGCCAAAACCGAAGTAGGGCGTTGCTCCCCGAGCTTTTGGCCTAGAGGTCTAACCCACAAGGCGGTGAAGCAGCCCCATGGAAGCCAGTGATCAACAATTTGTTCATACGTCATTTACTTCTTCGGGATCCTAAAGCCCATGTGCACCATTGGTTTGGAATCAGGGTTTTCTAACTCTCCCGGGTAGATCCCCTGTACCCACGAGTCCGGTTAGAGAGCCCAACATTTGCTTCTCGTCCTCCTCAACGTTAGATACGACACCATTGTCACAATATTCTGTTTATGCATAATGGCTATTTCAATTAATTGGTTGGAGGTGACCCAGTACACATTATTAAATAAGACTTGAGAGACAAATTCTACAATGATGTCACTTTAGTGGTTAGAACCGTAACAACATTCGAATGCTGATTTGCCTACCTTACAGTTTGTTCAGCCATGTAATATCATTATTTCTGTCACCAAACTGTATACTGGCTTAAGGCGAAGTACACAGAATTGTACTTGGTTACTCATAGTTATACTAGACGTTTCAACTTATTAGGAAAAATATGGCGATATTCTATGGTTGAAATTCACTTACTAAGAAAGGAATTTTATTCGACAATTTGAGAAATTTATATTCTTGTTAACCCTAAAAGCAGATAAATTCTAATCTTTCAAAAAGTAATCCAGAAAAGCTTTGTAGCTACTACTATGTACATCATTAAAATCTAAAAAGATGATATTTAAAAAAATGAAATCTACTGAAGTTAATTAAAACGAATAAACAAAAATCCCCAAATAGTTTACCCGTTTGCTTTCGAAATCTGAACCGAATGAATTAAGAGGTCCACCACCATCATAATTCAAGTGACCAATGGACTTTACAAACTTGCCAGGATCACAAGGATCCGGTACATTTTCGCTATTAGGTATCTTTAATTTATGTTCAGGTAAACAGTGAATATAATCAAGGAATGATAGCCATATAAGAGCAATGTGCAGCATGTTATCTCTATAAGGTTTTAAATAAGGATAATAAAAGAAAATTTTCCGTTTTCATCCACCTTCCACTTAATTAAAAGTTTCACCTATAAACATAATGACAAGAAAACATTATTTACTTTTATTAAGTGTAAGTTAAGAACTCATAAGCACAGAACTGTATTACCATAATAAACAAGGAAAAGTTATTGAAAATAAAAGTAAAGTATTTCCAAGTCAAATTTACAATACGGAACGTGATGTATAAGAATCTGTAAAATGCATACATTCTTTGCATTGGGTGGTATAACTGCGTGAACCCAGGGATAGTATTACGGGAAGTGGAGTTCCTGAAACCAGGCAAGTCATCGGTCCGTGAAAATATCCGTTCCATAGAACAGGGACCATCGGTACACCAGTATGCAACGCACTTTTGGCTTCCGTAATTAATTTTTCGGTTATGTATCGGGATTCTGAGTGACTGATAACGCAAGATTGCATTTAGAGCCACCCAAGTTTATCGGTAAGGCATAGTTTTTACCAAAAGTACTAACGGGTAATTTAAAGATTTGATTGGAAAATCTTGGGTTGTCAAATTGATGGACAGAATGTTAATCGGTAGGTTGTCCACAATAATAGGAAATGGTCGATTGATTTGTCCACTTAACCGAATTTTGAAATTCGATTGCGAAAACACGACCAGTAAGGTAGGCAGAAACAAAGCATATGGACGAATCAATCATATTTTGGAAAGAAATACAGTCATTTGAATAGCTACAAAGAATTCTTGCATTACATATGACGTTAGTCCCTGTAGAAACCCCGAATAATCCATTTACAAAGGTTCATTATTCATGTTAATTGACTGTAATTTTGTTACTTTCTATTACAAAACGTTTTAAAGGGACTGTCTCTTCGCTGACTGAAAAATACTTTAAGGCTATCTAGATACATTACTTCCACCCCCGAAATAGTCTTCTCATGTATTAAAATAGTATGCCAAATTACAAGATATTTAACATAAGCAAACGTCCTTAAAAAGTAATTGACAGACGAGCGATTTGAAGATGTGAATATTGTAGGTTGCTAATACCTTAATCTTGTTTGTCATACCAATAACCAAAATAATGTCGACCGCTAATGATATATCTAGTTATTTTAATGAGTCCGAACTAATAAATTATTATACTTCGTTTCTCATCTGCCTCCTATGAATAAAACATAGGAATACTCTTTGATGTAAGTACGCCAAGTTTGATAGCATACATAATGTAAGTTGCACTACGTCAATCTTCTGATAGCAGCGACTTATAATGATGAAGTTAAGTACTGGAATTATTTTGAAAAAAAGATTACCTTCACTAGTTTTATGAAATAATCATTTCGTCTTATCCATTCCTCGTATTCAGAAGCGTGTATTTGTTTGCGAGTGTTAGAGTATTGTCTAAGTCAAGTGTGGGAAGTCTTATAAACTCTGGAAGTCTACTCCCAAGCTGCCAATTTTGGGAAAAATTTGGCCCATTTTGGGGAAGCCGATATAGTAAATTTTGGGGAAATGAGACGCAAACCCCAAAATTTCCCCAAAGTTAGCAGCTCGGGCTGTAAACAAGAAAAAGTTTGTTCTCGTCAAATATTAGGGACTTCCCGAAAGTCAGATTTTCGTAAAATCAGCTTAGCATTCGGCCAAAACTACCAGACTAGTGCAAGCATGTGCTTAAATACACACTAAATTTATCATTTCAAACCCGACGAAAATTTCGAACAAAAAATATGTTATTTCAGTAAACTAATTTGGCAAAACTCGTTAATTTAGCAAATTAGCTTGCGTGGATGAATGTCCAAGAAACGAAAAGGGGGAAATAAAGACAGAATTGGGGAAAATCCGTGTGGAAATTCAGTGTGAATATAGGCAACAATGCATCAAAATACCACCATTTACCCCAGCCCAGGGTAAACAGTGCGCATTTTCCACAGAATTTCCCCCAGTGAGTAAACTCCTCGAAATTAACACTTTTACCTCCCGTGAAATATCTACTTTTTTTCAAAATTAAAACCGAAATGATATCAGTTATTCCTTAAGGCTGAGTCTAGAAGCGGAAGCATAAATCAACGACTCAGCATATATATCAAGTTTGCCTGAATTTACTAAGAAGACCAATCGATAGCAATTATCAATAATATGTGAATGAGGTCAAGACAACTTATTGTTCAAAGCTGGGGAGGGCATAAATACACGATTTCAAACCTGTCACGAAGTTCACAACTCGAACTCGCGCCTACTGTAAAGGTGGTTCAAATGGTTGTGGACGGAAATAGAAGAAGCTTTCGCTTAACAGGCTTCCGTGTCTAGTAGCAGGAGATCACCAAACCTCACAGGCAGGAACCTAGGTATGTTAACAGTAAAAGAGGAAAAGAAATTAGTAAATCATAGTGTGATACTATCCTTAGTCCTTAAGAATAGATCAAGTTGCCTCTTAAAGGACTCCTGGGAAGTTGCTTGGACTAGCTCGCTCAGCAGCGAATTCCAGCATTTGACAACCCTTAAGGAGTAGAAGTTGTGTCTACAGTCCGTTCTGCTATGTTGTGTCTCCAGTTTTTGGGTGTTACCTCTTAGGTTAGTGTTGGAACTAAGCTTAGGTAGGTGTTTGAGAGGATGTCCAGAAGTGTTAAGGATACTATAAGCCATCAGGTCACCTCCAAGACGTCTGTACTCTAATAGGTAAAGGTTAAGTGAATGGAGGCGCTCTTCGTAAGGTTTAAATTTGAGTCCTCGAACTGATTTCGTGGCTCGCCGTTGGATACGCTCCAGGGTGTCCTTATCCTTTTGGAATGAGGGGGGACATACCATGTTTCCGTACTCTAAATGGGGACGGATAAAACTATTGAAGATTATATGGAGAGTTCTTCCGTCAAACTGGCCAAAAATGCGCTTCAGTGTTACCAGTGAAAGGTTTGCTCGGAAGGCATTTTTGTCACAGCGTAAGACTTTAAATCGTAGGGCACCAGGACTCCTAAATCTTTTTCGACTTGGGATACTACTAGAGAGGAGGTACCTAAGTTATAACTGTAGTCTGCGACATGTCGCAGATGGACTACTTTACACTTCAAAGTGTAAAGTAGTCCATGTTAAGTTAACCATCCTTTAGTCATTTGCCAATAAAGTACTATATCTTGGATTTTCAAGCATTCTTCGGTTCATTCAATCAGTGCTGCATACAAAAACATGATTTTCGACGGGGATCTCATTTCAATCTTATAAAGTCATTTTACGTATGTCAATAAACCTGACAGTTCGAAATGGTTCAAATGGATGTGGACATAACAGAAGAAGCTTTCGCTTAACAGGCTTCTGTGTCTAGTAGCCGTGGATCACCAATACCTCCAGGCAGGAACCCAGGTATATCAACGATAAAAGAGGACAAATAAATTAGTAAATCATAGCAAGATACTATCCTTAGTCCTTATGAATATATCAGGTTTTCTCATAAAAGGACTGATGGGCATTCGCTTGGACTAGCTTAGACAGCAGAAAATTCCAGAATTTGACTACCCCTGAGGACATGAAGTTTTATTTACAGCCCGTTCTGCTGAGTCTGTTCTGCAGAGCATTCGAAACTCTAGGATGAAGAATATCAAATCACGTAGAAGTAAGGACTTACGATGAAATCCCCAGTTCAAAGAATCAAATGATAAACATTATTTACCCAATGCGTTTAATGACAAGTATCACAAAATGCTTAATATCGCACATATTGTGAATTGAGACCGATGCCTAACAAATTCACGGATACGCATTCTATCACCTCAAACACGATATCCAAGCTATACTAGGCAGAAATAGAGGGTTGTTCATTTCAAAGATGCTGATGATGTCACAGGTATTCAGTGTTTGACAATGCTCCTACCAGTAACACCTGATATATTTCGTTCCCGCCCAGAGAAATCAAAAGACAGAGTCGAGGAGATCGGAAGGGTATATTTGGCGATGACCAATATATCGGAATTCTCTGATCTAATCTGGCTAGCAATTGCGGTAGATATTGAGCACGGCGTTACCACACGTGATCTGGTGCGGATGCCTGACCGAGCGCCTTCAGCTAGGTGAGTCCACTAAAACATATGGTCAGCATCCAATGTCGAAAACTTAGTGCTATTTATTTTGGGGATTTATTTACCGCTACAATGCCGTATCTCGATAGACGAGGGGAGTTATTAGCTACTGCGAGACATTATTTTAAAGATTACGCAGATGTTCAGGTCTCAACAACACTTTCAAAAAAGCCACAAGTATTCGAATTTTCACATCTTAGCACATTATATAATCGAAACGTGCCAACCCAGTGAACACAGAAGCAAACAGGCTCAGAGGTATATTTGACAGAATATCGATATATCGAGAAGTGATCGATCTAAGCTGTCTAGCGGTTGTAGGAGAAGCGAAGCACGGTGCACTCACTCGTGGTCTGGTGCGGTGCATGACCGAGAGCCTTCAGCTAAGTGAGTCCGTTAGAACTAATGCGGTCAGCATCAAACGTCGATGATTCACAGAACTACTGGTTTTGAGGATTGATTTTACGCCACGGATCACTCCCCTACAGTGGGATAGTGATGATCCTAAGACGTGGCCAACCAGAAGTTTGAACACAACGACTTTTTTGTTGGCCAACACTCTTTGTCAATTTTCAGCAGCGTCTGGTCGTCTTTCCTTACTATAAGGGGCCATGTGGTACAATGTAGTAATAAAAACAGCTACAATAGAAAGTTCTGCCAATCCTAAACTTGTTTTTCACCCTTTCCAGCCGTCCTGGAAAAGAAAAAAGAATATGTGAGGGTATTTGGAATAACAATAAACGCATAAAAGAAAATAAGCACATATACATGCGTTTCCTAAACATGAAATAGCATAAGAACGATTTTTGCAGAATGATTTTTTTGGTTTTTATTCTTGATACAATACTAAATGATCTAGACGAAAAAAGTGCAATGTAGTGTCTTACGTGCAGTTATCGTTTAAGTGTTCTGGGAACTTTACTCTTCTACCAAAAAAAGTTGTTTTGAGACTGCTGTCTGGTGCCACAGAAATGTAGTCGTGATTGTTGATTATCGGGTGGTATATCATAATCATGAAACTCACGTCTTTAGATTGTGCAGAAAAAAGACCGATATGACTTCGGTTTTCTCCTGATTACTCAACTTGGAGGCGATCAATGGTGAAGGGACTGTTAATTCCATTATTATTGATTATATAGTACTTAAGTTCACACCGAAGAACCTTGAAGGGTCCTTCGTATGCCGTTTCGAGAGGTCGTCGAAATGAGTCGCGACGTACAAAGACGTGTGTACTATATCGTAGGGCAGGTTGAATGAAAACATAAGTCTGCTCATATAGGAGTTTAAATCCACATTCACTGAAGAAAATTCGGGATTCACGAATTCTCTTGGAAGTTGGAGTGTTGTTCCATAGACGAGCTGAGCTGCTTTGTATTCACTGTCAACTTTCACTGCATTGCGAACACCAAGTAAGACGAGTAGAAGAGCGTCGATCCACTGTGAAACATTTGCAGCTGACAGGGAAGCCTTCAGCTGTCGATGAAAGCGTCCTATCAGCCCGTTCGCTTGTGGGTGGTAGGCGGTCTTTCGGAATCGTGTGATTCCTAATAATATAGTCAGACTTAAAAATTTTTGCTAAATGGATGCTATGTTCGTTTTCTAAGCTATTCACTTAACTCCCAAGCTAGAATTACGCAGCGATCTGAACACGAGAGAAAAGTCGCAAAGTATGCGAGAAGTACTTTACTCCAAAGGTTCATTTTAGTACAGAAAATACAGGGTTTTTACAGTATTTTAGATGTTCCTGGGTTTCCCGGAAATTCTGGAGTGCTACCTAACATAGTTGCAGTATAGTAATCAGCCAATCAGAAACTCCGCATGTGGCTATTAACTTTCTTGGTGTTTCTGGTTCAACTTCAAGTGAACGCTGATTGGATGAAATGCTTCTTCATGCTCTCTGAGCCTTTCTTGAATTTTGAGAGTTTTCTAGATCACCCTAATACAGATAACGTGAACTTCCTATCCGAACAGACGTGAGGGTTTGTAGTGATAGTTGAAGGGCAGTCGGAGTTTGTTACCCACTGTCCGACGAAGGCAGTAATGTCATTGATGATTACTGCTCCTGGCTATCGAGTGAAACGTTCTACACAAGTTTGAATGCAAGAGCATCCATTTTAATCTGTTGATGGTTCCACCAGATCCAGATGAACACGTTCGAAACGAGAATCAAGAGTTGTGAAAGAGCCCAATGAATATTTCCGTGTCTGATAACCTTAGATTTCTGGGAGACTATGTAGAATTATGGTCTACTATGATATTAGTACTGCTCTAATAATAGACCTAATCCTAAATTTGTAGATTTGTCATGATATAACTGCCTAATCTATAAGATCTTACGTGGAAGTCACATCATCGTCTACACCAACTCATTGTATCGTAACAACTACCAATATATGATGTAGAACAAGGTTAGGCTAGAGAAAGAACAATATATTTAATATGAATAAAAGATATAAGGTGATATTCAGAAGGGACCACGTCTGCATGGCCAGGACATGCCATTCGATCAACTCCCATTCATTCAATTAACTGTTCTCGCCTTCTCCATCGTTAGGTATTTCTCCGCGTTACATATTGAATAACTATTTTCCGAGTAGTCTTGTGTTCAGCTTTGAAGATTGTGTGGTTATGGTCTAATGCCGCTACAACTACACAGCAGTGCGCTCACTTCCTCATGTCTCTATTCATCCCTAATTGGCAAAATCGTTCTGCTATGAGCTTGGTGGTTACTCGAACACCAGCATGAGGAAGCTTGTGCAATGTACCCAGAACTTGGCGTTGATAATGTTTCGGCACGAGTGGACGATCTCTTCATGTAGGTGTGTCTCATAGTAAGGTTTCCTTACCTCTTCCCATCTGTTTAATACTCAGTTTTAGGGTTGATGAAGATCTTTCGAGCCGAACACCAGAGTCTTTTTTTTGAAGCTGAGCGGGTTTAAGATGGTCGTTTCCTTGGGAAATCTCTACGGATGTTATAGCAGACGAAGTCTGCTACAACACTGTTTACCCCAGAAATGAGTTCTAGATCTGAAACAAACTGCGAAATGTGGTCCAGTCGTCGAGACTCTCGAGGAGAGTATGTGGTGGCATTGGACCCTAACCACACAATCCTCAAAGCTGAACACGAAATAACTGGAAAAAATATGTATTCAACATTTGACGTG